TGGGATCGAGTCCCGCATCGGGCTCCCTGCTCAGCAGGAGGCCTGCTTCTCCCTCTCCCACTCCCCCTGCTTGTGTTCCCTCTCTCGCTGTGTCTTTCTCTGTCAAATAAATAAATAAAATCTTTAAAAAAACAAAAACACTAATGATGTAATATATGGTGATTAACATAAAATTAAAAAAAAAATAAAATTGTACCATTAAAAAAATAAAAATATTTTAAATATAGAGAAATGCAAAGAATAATGTAATAAACACTTATGTACTCATACCCCAATTTAACAAATACAATTATTTTATCTTCTTTTTTTCCATTTCTCTCTACATACATGTTTGGTTTAGAAAGAAAATAAAATTTAATCCACTATGTTCCCATTCCTCCTTCCCCAGAGGCAAACATCACAAATTTGCAACAAGTCCACTGCATTTCTTATACTATCACTTTTCAGTACCTATAAACAGTACATTATATTTTATGTTTCTAAGAATTTACATAAATAGTGTAAAATGGTATTTATTTTGCAAACTGTTCTCATTCAAAATACTTCTGAGATCTATCCATGTAGATACAGATTATTTTAACTGTGGTATAGTATCTATGAATACATGAAAATTTGTCAACTTCCTTCTTGGAGATCAACTGGATTATTTCTAATTTTTTGATATTTCAGAAATACTGCGCTAAATTCTTACAGATATGTCCCTATTCAAATACACTAGTGTTTCCCTAGTACAGTGGATCTCAAACTTTAGCAGGCATCAGAATAACCTGGAGTGCTTATTAAAACAGACTGCTGGGCCCTTCCCCCAGAGTTTCTGGTTTAGGAAGTCTGGTGGGGGTCCCCAAATATGAATTTTACCCTGGTTTCAAGTGCTGCTGATACTGCTAGTCAGGGACCATAGTGAGAACCAACTAGAAATATAGCTGCTGGGTCATAGGTAATACACATTAAATGTATTAAATTTTACCAAATTATGTTTTATATAATTGTGCTAAACATTGATATTAATAGCATATGTGAGTATTCATCTCCCCACTTTTTATTGTGGGACTCATTTTGCCAATCTGATGGGTATAAAGTATTACCTTATTGTTATATCAATTTATAAGGGTGCAAGTATCCTTCCATGTTCATTAGCCAATTAGGTTGGTCGTAAGAGCAAAGTATTTTTTAGGGAGTCAGCATTATCTCTAAGCATATTTAGATTGCTCTGAGATGTTATTACTGTATAAATTATCACTCGATTTCTTCTGTGAGCTTCCCTCTACACACACACACACACACACACACACACACACTTTACTCCCCTCTCCACCGATAAGGGGGTTTGTCCTGGTAGTGACAACTGGGAAGGGACTGTTTACAGGTTTGCCTCCCTTTACTTTATATAAATTAATGTCAAGGAGAAGGCATCTGAACGTCAATGAAAATGTCTTTAGCGGAGAAAATAAAATTCTTACTGAGAAAATTTGACCATTTTGAGGGCTTCAAATTCAGGTCCTCTGTCAATAATGTCTTTTTAAAAAATCTAAACGATCTCTGGCATTTTTAGGAGTAATTAAATTAAAACCACATTATGGTTTTGAAGACAATTTCAGATATTTAACAAAACATTAATAGTTATGCAATTTGAATTTTTAAACTCTATGTAGGTTATTAAAATGTAAAATATCTTTACATTTGATATAATATCATAAATGTGAATATACAGACAGTCCCCATCATATGGTGGTTTGACTTAGGATTTTTTGACTTTACAGTGTTAAGTGTAAAGGTGATACAAACTCAGTAGAAACTATACTTCAAATTTTTAATTTTCATCTTTTCCTGGGCTACGTATGTGGTACGATACTCTCTCATGATGCTGGGCAGCAGCAGGAGCCACAGCCCCCAGTCAGCCACATGACCACGGGGATGACAAACAATAAATTTACAACCATTCTTCCCATTCAAGCATTGTTTTTTGCTTTCAGTATAGTATTCAATAAATTACACGAGATACTTAACACTTTATTATAAAATAGGCTCTGTGTTAGATGATTTTGCCCAACTATAGGCTAATGTAAGTGTTCTGAGCATGTTACTAGGTTAAGCTACGATGTTCAGTAGGTTAAGTGTATTAACTTCATTTTCAACTTAAGATATTTCACTTTACAATAGGTTTATTGTAATGTAACTTCATCCTAAGATCGGAATTTATTAGAAATAAAAAGAGAACATTTTTCCAAAGGCTTCCTACTGTATACAGAATAAAATCTCAACTTCTTACAAAGTCTGTAAGGCTCTCCAAGATCTTGTCTCTTCTTTCTTTTTCAAACTCTTTTTCTTTCACTCTCCTGCTTTCAAACTCAACTAAACACACCTTCATTCAATTTCTCAAGCTCACCTATGTTTTCACAATTGCTCTAATTTGCATGTAGTAGGCTCCCTCTTAGTCTTTTAGATCTCAGTTCAAATGCCAATTGCTCCAAAAGACCTTTCCTGATCATCCTATAGAATGCTGGCACCACCACTAACCCATCATTCTCTATCATGTTATCTGTTTTATTTTCTTTATAGGACTTATCACTACTTCTAACTACTCTACTCGTTCCCTTGTCTACTCTCTGCCTCCCTCACTAGAATATATTCCTGCTCTCTTGCTTGCCAGTATAATCCTATACCCGGCTAGAGATTCAATAAATACCTGTTGCATAAATTAAGAAACAAAGTTTTACTTAGCGGCATTATACAAGATACCTAGTGGAATTTTCCAGTTATTTCTAATATCACTATCCAACAAATATAAATTGTCAAGAATGATTTATTATAACTCATTATATGCATTCTTTAGTTATAGTTAGAATTAATACTTTTTACCCCTTCAGCTTTACACAGTACTCTGAGAAAATTCTAGGACTTAAGTTGAGATTTTTTTTCAAGGAAATACAGCATTGTAACTACTGAATAAGTAAGTATAAAGTACTGAAAAATTTAAGTGTTAATTTTTAGTTGTGGAACTTGGAAAATGCCAATATAAAACAAAATGCTGAAACCAAGCTTTGAAATTACAACAAAATATTATAAAGTAACTTTTTTAAAGTTCAGATTCTCAACAAAGTTACTGAAACTCTTGCCTTTCCAAAGAAAGTGAAACCATTCCTATGTTTTTATTTCCTTAACAGAATATATAACATAAATTAACTGAAAGAAAGGCAACAGTGTTTAAGAAAAAATAGATAAAACTAGTGATAGCTGGGATGCCTGGGTGGCTCTGTCAAAGCGTCTGCCTTTGGCTCAGGTCATGATCCCAGGGTCCTAGGATGGAGTCTCGCATTGGGCTCCCTGCTCAGCAGGGAGCCTGTTTCTCCCTCTGCCTGCCACTCCCCCTGCTTGTGTTCACTCGTGCTGACAAATAAATAAATAACATATTAAAAAAAAAAAAAGCAATGACAGCTGATAGGCCCAAATGAGAATTACATTATAGGGTTCAATTTTTATTCTATGTGTTTTAGGTAGATGAAAACATTTTTTGTATGAATTGTACATTTTCACTATGCTTTAGCATCTATATAAGTAAATAAACATACCTGTTCTGATTTAAGTACACTAAGTTCCCACTGAAGTTTATCATTTCTACTTGGTTCAGTTGTCCCAAGTGATGATCCATTTGTCACTAATGGCAAATGATCCAAAAACAACTGTTCTTGCTTGCCTTCTTTTCCAACAGTCTTATTTTCAAAAGGAATTTTATCTTCCTCCATTATTTTTGATTCTTCAACAAAATCTTTATTTATTTTAGAAACTAACTCTCCAGAATCCTTGCCTGTCATAGTCACACCACCATCTTTTAAAGAGACTAACTGAGCATCACAAACATTTACATTTTCTGTCCGTTTATGGTTAATGATGATTTCTAGCTCTCTACATCTCAATAAAACTTGCTCTTTCTCTTGCTTTAAAGACTTCACTTCTTCACTCAGAAAACTAATCTCACCATGTTTCTGTTTTAATTGTTCAGAAAGATCAGACAATCTCTCCGCCAGTTCTAACTTTTCTCGCTTGGTTACCTCAAGTTTTTCCATAAGTTCTGTTGTATCTTTCTCAACAACATCACCGGTTTCCAATGGTTCCCCTATGAAAGTTTTGTCATCATCAAAGACTGAACTTTTCATTTTTACCATAGTTGGATTTATTCTTTGCAGATGATGAAGCTCTTCACTAAGCGTTTTAAGCTTACTTTTATACTCTACTTCTTGTTTGTTTTTGCTGTCTTCTAAGTCAGTTTTTACCTTGAGAAGGCAAGCATAGTCCTCCTGTAACTCCTGATAGTTAACTTCAAAATTTTTTTCAGCAAATGAAAAAGTGTTCCTTTGCCTTTCAATCTCTTCAGTTAGCTCAATACATTGTTTTTTGAGGTCCTTGTTTTCCTCTGTAAGTATTTCTATTTCTTTTTGCCAGTTACAGTCTTGGGATTTGGACTTAATGGAGTCTATGAAAATTAATTTTTCTTCTTGGTTAACACGTGTATACCTTTTCAACATGTCTTCAAGGGCTTTCTTTTCATCTTTAAGAGTGCTATTCTCTGCTTCAAGTTGTGTAAATTTTTCTTGAAGGTTATCCTCTTTTTCCTTCATTTGTTTCTCCAATAATTCAGTTTTAAGTTGTAATTCTTGAACTTCTTGTTCAAGTGTACCCTTTTCCTTTTCTTCTTGCCTGAGTATTTCAATTTCTTTTTGAAGTTCACTGATTTGAAGAGTCATTTCTTCTGATTTTGAATTCACAAGGGACTGCTGTAAATCTTTTAGCTTTGAAATTTCCAAAATTAATTGATTCTGCTTAGTTATCAAACTGTCTTTTTCAAACTGCATGGTTTCTATCTTTTGACTCATTTCATTCTGTAAGCCATCTATCTGCTGTTTATAGTGAATGCCTAAATTATCTTTTAGTTTCTCAATATTTATTCGATGTTCGATTTCTAAATCTTCTTTCAGTTTGGAAAGTTCTTCTTCATGACTAAACAGAAGCTGTGTCCTCAGCCTCTCTAATTCAGCTTCTTGCGATTCAGCCATTCTGTCTAATACAGCATTCTTTTCCCTTTCTAACATTTCAAGTTTTATCTTGTAATTTGTAACTTCTGCCTCATGTTTTAATTCTAGTTCTTTTCTGGATTCAGATGCAGAAACAATCTCAGCTTTCAAATCTTCCACTGTACTAAGGGATTTGTGTGCTTCACTGAGTTTACTTTCTTGTTCAGCTATTGTCTGTCTAGCTCTCTGAATTTGTTCCCTTGAAAAGCTCAATTCTTCAAAAAGGTCTTCAAGCTGTCTCTGTAGAGCAGACTTTTCTCCTGAAATTATTCCTAGTTCTTCCTTGAGTTTTTCTTTTTGAGAGTTATTATCTTGCAATTTTACATTCAGTTCATTTATTGCCATATTCATTAACGTTATTTGATCATTAACTGTAATACTTGGATATGATCTTAAAGCATTCTCCATTTCTCCCTTATGTCGTATTTTAAGTTCATCTATCTGTGACATGTGCTGTTTTATTAACTCCTGTTTCATCTGTACTATCTGCTGCCCATACATCTCATCCAGCTCTGCCCGGAGCTGTTCTAACTTTCTTTGTGTTTCTTGTTCCATTCTTTGGAGAATATCAGTTTCAAATTGGCTATCTTTATGATTTTTCTTCTGAAGTTCCTCAACTGTCCCCATTAATTGTTTTATTTCTTCAGAACACTGTTTTTCTTTTTGCTTGGAATTAGTCAGCTCTAATTTCATATTTTTAATCTCTTGGTTCTTTTGTACAACCTGTTCTTGTAATTCTTCTAGTAATTTATCAGCAGCTGTGACTTTATCCATTAGCTCTAGAGTTTTTCTTTCATCTTCTATTATTTTTGTATTTAATTCTTCAATGATTGTATCCTTTTCCCGTATTTCTTTATTTGAGCTTTCTACTTTTTTGTCTTGTTCCTTTAGAAAGAAAAAATGAAAATACATAAAAATGGCATTTTTAGTTCCTGGCAACTTAGACTGCTTAAACTCAATACCAAAAGACTGAGAGAAGTCTGGTTTTGTTTTGTTCATAATTCTACAAAAAGTAACTGCAAGGCTTGCCCCTTAATTTTTCCCAAGTCAATGAGACAAGACTTGTGTACCCAACACTATTTGTGAGCAATACAGCAGTGTTGGTCTTCTTGGAAGAAAGAAATTCTAACACGGCTATGGTTAAAAATAGTAATTTAAAAATTAGTAGGATTAAAATGTCTAGACCATTACATTTTCATCTTTCTTAATAACTGGTGAACATTCTAAGAACTTAATATTTTCTGCAGCTATAGTACTGTGTACTCTTTATAATTCCAGAAGAAAGTCTTAAATACATCTCAAGATTCTTTCCATGTATTCTAGTGACTTGAAGGTGTTAGATGGGCAAGTGCTATGAAAAGACTAAAACAACAAAACAGGTTCCTATGGGTCTGCCTTAACTTCATTCCTGTGGCTAAGTAAATCAGAAATTTGGGGATATCCAATGCATAAGTGGCTAAACCTCAAACAACATGCAAGACAACTATACCATTTATGGCACATCAATTTGATCCTAGACTTTGGGCTTGAACAGAAATTTGAAAGCAGGACAGATATTTTCTTCCAGTTCTGACTTGGGCCTCTATTTTGGAACTGTATGTAAGCCTAAATCGAGGACATAGGCCAAGGCACATCTGTAACAACAATCATTCTTAAGAGTGTTATAGCATAACAGCGTCAAGCAGAAGCCCTAGAAACCAAGTTTTGACTCTGTTATTTAGTTGCCTAAATAGTTCAGGGCTGAGGTCCCAAGTACAAAGAAAGTACAATCCACTGAGTGGAACAGAATATAAGTAGGTAAGTAAAATCACCTTACTGAGACAGGAGTTCCAGGTTAAGAGGACTTAAAGGCACCTTGGATGAATGTATTCACATATCTAAAGAAAAAATGTCAAAGCCTAGAGAAAGGAAAGCCTCAGAGGGTTGGCAGTACTCATTTCAGCAGAGTCTGGGGAAGAGAACCAAGGTACCTTAAGACTGAAATTCTGATCCTCTGGGAAAACCATATCTAATGTACAAAGCAATGTAAGGCGTTGTAGCAAGCAGAATTTAAGAATTTTAATTCACAAGCATGACTTTCCTACTGTGAGATGATACATCAAGTTATCATAGCCTAATGCTACAGAACATTTGACTCCAATATCCTTTGATCTCACGCTCACTAATAAACAACTTCCTATTATTATTATCTAGCTTTTCAAATTCATTTGCCCATGGAAAGAAAGTAAAATCCAATGAACTTGAAGTATACAGGTCCCTGTGATAATTATTTCTCACTATAAATTAATAATCTTATATTCAAGGTTTAAACATTAGACTCTTCAACTTGAAAAATCTGAGCTTATCTCTGAGATAGCTCAAGTCTCAGTTGATAGAAGATAAAAACCAGACTTCTCAGCCTACAAGTCAAAGGCCAGATTCTGCACTATATAAATTAACTAAGGTAATGAATGTCATTCTGTGAAGCCTCTTGAGCAAAATCCTATCAGCATTTTTCTTGGTATCACATATTCCATCCAATGTCACCATAAGTTATTACCAAGTGCTGAGCCTTCTGACTTTAACTTCTGTACTACGATATGACATTTAAATCAGTTTAATCTCTTAAATCTCAGTGTTTTCATCTGTAAAATAAATGTAGTATTTCTTCTCTCTGTCATGGAATATGTTTGAAGCTAAAAGAAAATAAATATATTAATGTGTTTTATGCTCACTGTGCTATGTACAAATGTAATACATTTAAATACTAGAAAGTATCTATAAGGAATTTGGAACCTATAAAAAAGTAAAATTAGTTCAGAAGGTCAACTTCAGTTGAATTGTTAAGTAAGTAATTAGTCTTGAAATGTTAACACTGTTACAAAATCTGTAATACTTCTATTTCCTGATTTTCATTTGGGGGGAGGAACCCTCATAAAACACTTAATTCAAAACTGTCCAACATGTGATATAACTGCAAACAACAATTCTTCATTCAACTCTTAAATAATACAATTTCATGGCTCATTTTTCTTAGTACTGTTTATTTCAAAATATACGGTTTTAAACCATTTATTTTGTGTTGCAAAAGACAGCTCTGCGATCGAAGATAAAATCCCTCTATTTTTGGAAACAGACCTGCGGGAGTGGGGAGTAACAGACTTCCTGCCTGTGACCACTCTACCATGGGAAGTTCTGAGGATTAGAGGCAACAAGAATGAGGCTGGAATCAAGTGTAGGTGTCTAGGGAACCACGACAGTTTCAACTATGACCCTAATGCTCTAGTCCCTCAGCTGTGCCTGAGCCTGCCCTACTGACACTTGTGGAACTACTACTCAGCGGTATTCATGCAAAGTAAAAAAAAAAAAAAAAAAGGAGAAGTTTATATATATATATATATATATAACAAAGAAGAGACTGATGATAACAAGTATTCTGCTAACATTCAAATAAACAAAGGTAATTCCCCCTATGAAAATGAATTATTTAAATTTTAAATACTTTCAAATAATACTGCCCACTGAATATAATAAATACAACAAAATCCAACTTAAAGGCTCTTCTAACTAAGGCCTAGACTATTTACACTTCCTCCTGTAAAGACTCACTTTCAAAAACTATTTCTAGGTTAAACTATTTTTTGCTACCTAGACATTTTTTAACATGTTTCAGCCTGAATCTTTATATATACTACAACCTCTATCTAAAATGTCCTTTCCTAAGTCAAGCAGAGAAAGTCAATTATCATATGGTTTCACTTATTTGTGGAACATAAGGAATAGCATGGAGGACATTAGGAGAAGGAAGGGAAAAATGAAGGGGGGAAATCGGAGGGGGGAGACAAACCATGAGAGACTATGGACTCGGAGAAACAAACTGAGGGTGTTAGAGGGGAGGGGTGGGGGATGGGTTAGCCCGGTGATGGGTATTAAGGAGGGTACCTACTGCATGGAGCACTGGGTGTTATATGAAAACAATGAATCATGGATCACTACATCAAAAACTAATGATGTACTGTACGGTGACAAACAAAACAAACAAAACAAAACAAAACAAGAAAAGAAAATATCCTTTCCTATCTATCAGCTCAGATTCATAATATATTTGCTTATTTACCAAATGAATATTGATTAGCTGCTAATGTGCCACACATAATGCCTACTGCTGAGAAAACAAAATATAATTATAGAGAAATTATTCCAACTTACAGACTGGCCTCAAATATCATCTCCCCCTAAAGCCTACTCTGAGTGACTTCCCTTATGAAGCCAGACTACTCAAAACACTTTTTACCTACGCTTACCCTTGTTTTGTGCTATCTTGTGTACATGCCCTATTAAACCATGAGGTTCAGCGAAGAAAGGGCACATTTTAGGCATCATTATCTTTTGCAAGGGCCTGGTACAAAATAGGTGTTCTGTAAACAACTATCTAATGATTTTTAAATTATCTTGGTTGTAAAGCATAGTTTCATAATTTCAGTAGCTTAAATTTGTATGTTTCCTATTTTCATAAGAGTATGGTCTCTGGAATCAGACTACCTAGGTTTGAAACCTGGTTCTGCCGACTATTACCTGTGTGATTAGGCAATTTACCTCACCTTGCTTTGGCTTGATCTCTTCATCTGTAAAATGGGGGTGATGGCAGAAATCTCCATCTCATAAGGTTATTACAATGATTCAATGAGTTAGTATGTGTAAGATGCTTTGAATATTGCCTGGCACCACGTAAACAAAAATAAATGCTAGCTAATAATTTTATTATTATCCAAACAATATTCTTGTCTTGGTTATTTTTCAACTTCTTGCAGAAGAACTTACTAAGTTGTAAAAAGTACCATATTATATGTACAGTCTGTCCTCAATATTCACAGATTCCCTACTTGCAAATCCATCTTCTTGCTAAAATTTATTTGTAATCCCAAAATCAATACTCATAGTCATTTGCAGAAATGCACAGAGCAGCAAAAAATTTGAGCTGCTGGATATGCATGCTTCCAAAGCTGACACCAAACAAGGCAACTACACTTGACTTTGTTTTCGCTCATTATGAGAGCATGGATGGAGAAGAAGAGGATGGAGACAATAGGGGGCAGTGCAGTATAGCACAAGAAGCATGGTTCTGGGCCAGCTATATGGGTTTGAATCACAACTCTTACAAGTGTCAGTAGGGCAGGCTCAGGCGTCACTTAACACTTGTAAACCTCATTTTCTCTTTTGAAAAATAAACAAAATATAATCTACCAGGATGAGCTGTTTTTAGTTTTTAAGATTATAATCTATGAGATATGTTATGTGTGTATGTATGTATATATGTAAATATAGTCCCTAGGATATATGTGTGCATGTATATAAACACATACATGCATATATATGTATGTATGTACATATAAACAAATATAAACATATGAAATATATACATTTCCCTTTTTTTCCCCATGAGCATATATTGTTAAGTAAGTGTTCCAAGCAACTTTATAAAACATAACTACTATAAATAGAGACTCTATTGTAGTTTTTTCTAATTAAAATCCATAAAATTTCATTTTGTCATGGAAATATTTTCAGAATTTCATAACCACTGCTATGAGTAGAAATGAGTAGAAATACCTTTAGGTGAAAAAAAAAAAAAAGAATGGAAATTCTGTTTACAAATTTAGATTCTCCTGAGAACTCACTTTAACATGGCTGATCACTACCAAAGGAACTCAGTAATGAATTTTTATTCATTTAAACTATTATTGTGAGACTCCCAATTGCTTTTGAAAGAAGTTGTTTTGCATACTTACAGAGCTTTTCTTAAATGAAATTTTGTAATTCATATACATAACAAAAAGGATAAACAGTTGTATAAAACACTTCAATTATAAAGCTGTTATACACTGGCTGACTTCCTTAAAATAAACATACCATTTCATATGCTCTAATTTTCTCTTGCAAGAAACTAATTTGCATTTTGAAGTCTTCTTTCTTTTTTTGATAATCTTCTAATAAATGGTCTTGTTCTTCCAGCTGTTGCTGATGAGTGAGGATCTGTTGTTTTGCTTGTAATAAATCTGCAGCTGTGCTACTGTGAGTGCTGTTTCTTAGAGTTTCACTAGCCTGTAACTTGAAAACAGAAAGAAACCTCCAAGTTAAATTCTGAAGAGATTGCACTAGGGAAGAGATATTTTTGGGGTATTGCTCGGCCCACAGTTGCTCTCTGGGAAATCTGCTAGATTCATAGGCTTGAAACTCCAGTAAACATGCTGCCATGGCTTATCAGATGATCGTGGGCACATTATCCAAGCCGAACCAATAAGATTATCTTTCCCATCATAAAGGAGAGAAAGTCTAGTGACATAGCTAAGACTAAGGCAGACATACAGAAAGAGACGGGGCCTAAAAGACAGTACTTCCTGGATTCCAAATGACTTTCCAGTTTGTGATTCTATCCCTTTCAGAAGTCTGGTTGCATTTTCACTTGAATTCTGTAAGATAAGCCTGTATTCTTATATTAAATTCCTCCCTTTTAAATTATTTTCTGTACTTGCCATCAGAAACTTTAATACCATTAGATTCTTACGGCTCTGATTAAAGATAAATGGAACACATTCTGTCTAGCTACTATTTTAGAAACTAAAATAAAATCATAGCAGAGTTGGCAAAAGGTAGGATGTGACTACATGTTAATTTCCGCAAAAATCCGCCCAATCAGACTTAAAAGATTTTGCAGGCTTTCAATATATAGACAAGGAAGAAGTACAGAGAAAATACATCAAGGAACCACACAAGAACTAAGAGTTAAACTCTTGGTTATCATAACAACAGGTATTCACATATTTCCAACATGATACATAATAAGCAAATGGATTTTAAACAAACTTAAATTTGTTCTGAAAATCAGAGCACTTGAAAAAAATTCATTACTAAAAATCTAATAAATTTTGTTCTATTAGTAATACTTACATGTTGGAACTGAATCTGTAATTTTTGACTTTGTTCTGTCAACTCTAAGAATTCTCTCATTGTCTCATCCTTTTCTCTCCTTGCTTGTTGTAAATTAGCAGTGAGCTGGGTTATGATGCCATCTCTTTGCTTAATGGCAGCTTCAAATTCTTGTAACTAAAAGACATCAGTGAAAATAAAAAGTGCCAGACTTATTTTTTAAACAAAACTGATTATTACTATAGGTAACTATTCTTCAAAAATATAATATTTAAAATGCACTGACAGAATTATGATAATTTGTAAGTAACCTTAACCATTTTTGTCTGTAACTGAAAGATTAGCTTGCAGAAATTGGCTTTACTTCCAAATCAACTTAAAAAAAATTACTAGGTTTAACTTCTCCATTTATCTGCTTCCAGAAGGACAAGTGCCTTTATATTTAGGGATGCCCCAATCTGTTCGTAGGCAACATCATCATAGACATATTCAATTCTCACTTGTTTCTGGAGAGGCCGAAACTAAAATGTATTCTGTCCTCCTCATCAATGGCCTTTTTCACCTTGTTTTCATAACTGACTTCCACAAACAACAGATGTCATTCTAACCACAAGCGCTTACTTTTACAAGGACTCGCTGACATTTTTAATGAGTTTAGGTCATCATATTGTGATGTGGTTTGCACCATAATTTTCTCTCAGGCTGATTACAAAAACACCAGAAGTGATTTCTGCCTAGCTATCTCATAAAAGATTAAGCAAAGTTGTTTGCGATATGTGTAAGGACAAATATGATGAGATGACTTAAGTTACTATTTAAAAACCTCATCTTTCAAGACCGTACATACACTATCATTCAAATTTCCTATATTTGTCTCAGTAACAAAACAAAAGCCACATAACATACCTGCTGCAGTCCATCAGTCCCGTAGGTGGCTCTCATTTCTTCTAGTTCTCTGTTCAGCTCTTCAATTTCATGCTGTTTACCAGCCAATTCATTTTCCATCATCTCTAGGTGGGTCTGACTGTACTGTGCTCCATGTTCAGAATAAGAATCATCAGCACCAAATTCTTCTTCCTAAATCAATCCAAGATTTTTAATAATTCATACTAACAACATTTCTCAGGAAGAGGGACTTAAACACTGAATTCCATAGCAAAATCCACTTTAAAATATCACTTATCATCTGAGAGTTTACTGGAATGACAACCTACTTTGTTATTATTGTGATATACACCTTAAAAGCAAAAACAAGATACCGCAAAATCTGTCACAATTGAACTTTTATAACAAAATGTGGCTAATTTTGGTTTGTTAAACATTAAAAGCATTTAGAAATCACACACAGAAAGAAGTACATGCAGGAAAAAGCTCTGTTAGTAAGCCAGATGGTTTTAAATAGTATAAAACATTAGTATCGTGAGTAGTTTTAAATACTGTACCCTTAATAAATTTGTAGGCTTTTCTGTTCTCACCACAAAACTGCAACCATTTACCTGTACAAAAACAATTTCCTGATATATTATGATTTTAGACAGAATTTTATTTAAAGCTAACAATTATATTTCTGCTAACTATATTCATGCATCTCTTATGCATAGGGAAAATGCCTCATTGGCAAAAATAGACAAAATGATTAAATTTAAATCTATAAAAGACATTATGATCATTTCAAATACCAAAGATTCCCAAAACATTTGAGTGCTAACAATGCAGAAGACATGGTACTATACATTTTTGTTTAAGTGAACTGAAGTTCTAAGAGCAGTTTCTGTTTTGACTTCAGAGGGGTAATTATAAACCTCAAGTTACTAAATCCTCTTCTACAAAATCCTGCCTTATAATCATTTAAATAGCTGTTTTTTGATTAAGCTCTATTCATTTTAAAGTAAAATTGTTTACTGGTGCAAATTCACTAAAGGTTGGTAATCAGGTCAAGAAGTATGAGATGAATAGGTGAGGAACAGTCCCCCACCTTTCCCTGGGGGAAATGACAGCCATGTCAACCCTGACTGATGTAGAGATTTTCCATAACATATGTTTGCCTCTCTCTATCACAAACACTTGACGATGGGAGGAAGAAGGATGACAGTCTATGTCTCCTGGGTTGACCTGGTGGGAGATTAATTTCAGACCAATTAATCTATTTAACAAACCCTTCCTTCCCCCAACAGTGCACAAAAAAACTTCACTTCTGCTTACATCTTAATTATTCATAATTCTACGTTAACAGAATCCAAGATAATAAAGTTTGTACTGTTGGAATACACAGACTAGAATATCCCAGAGTTAGGATACGGACTACATCTTTTTATTTTTTTTTATTTTATTTTTTCTGATTAATTGAATGTTTATCTTTTATTGTTATGTTAATCACCATACATTACATCATTAGTTTTAGATGTATGGACTACATCTTCTTAAAAGTGAAGATACTGGGGCGCCTGGCTTGCTCAGTCAGTAGAGCATGCGACTTGATCTCAGGGTCATGAGTTCAAGCCCATCCCACTTTGGGCGTGGAGCCTACTTAAAATTAAAAAAAAAAAAAAAAAAGTGAAGATACTAATTAAGAGTTTTGTAACAGAGTTTGATTCCTTTGTTTTTTTTCCTAAGGATAATTTCTGAAAAATAAAGTTAAAAAAAAAATTCATCTTTATGGCAACACAATATTACAATTTGTGAAAACTATCAGAAGACAGGAGTACTAACTCTATTAAGATTATTAATATCAAGTCACTTGAAATAACTTTCCAATTAAATCCTCCTAAATTTCAGTTAGCTTTTCTTGATTCTGAAATGAAGCAGTTTGATAAGCATCTATTAAATTTTTACAGTTATAGTATAATGAAATGGATTTTATGAATATTTTCAAATATATTAAGCAAGGATACACCTTTAAGTGGAGATGATACAAGTCATCAGTTTATAATGACTGTATCTAACACATTATATAGCCAAAGTTCAGCTTAATTTTTCTCTAACTTAATCAAAATTACACTCTTATGTATTGGCTTCTTAAAATACATGACCATTTTCAAGACTTAATTACATGTTATTATAACAAACATAAAAATCATTATTAAAAATTTTTAAATACTATGTAAATAGATAATAAAAAATTATTCACCAGGACTAAACTAATATAAACTATATTCTGAAGTTAGAAGAGAAATACTCAGCAGAATACTAGGATCACTAATAGTTAGCATTATTCTATTTTTTTAATGAAGATAATTACTTTATTGATAGCTAAAGGGTACAGCATTCATCCCTTCCTATATTAATCTTCTAACACTATACCAGGTAAACCTTAATATGAAAGTAAATTAATAACCTGAAACAGGAAAATTAGATTGTTAAACTCAGGTGAAGAAAAGCCTTTCTCTTAATGTCCTTTTTTTACTGTGGCATTTTGTCAAAGTTATTTAACCATTAGGCAGTACTAATATATTCTTTCTGAATTCACAGATATATTCAATCTGTATAGAGAACATGAAGACTTGGGAAAGTATAAGTAAGGTACATTTTCAATTTTAAAATGTTCTGTAGAGGTAAGTATCATCTCATAAAGATACTGCTATTCAGAAAGAATCAGAGGAAGATAATTTTTATAACCATAAAATGGCCTTTACACCAAAACCTTTTCCTTTCAGTGGATGTTAGTTTAAAAGCATAGAAGACTGCCAAAAAATAAAAAAATAAAAGCATAGAAGACTAACTCACTATTAATATCTTATCCTATTATACTTAATGTGGTACTATTTACATTAAAAATATTAATAATGGATATCCCTATCAAAATACCATCAACTTTTTTCAAAGAAATGGAACAAATAATCCTAAAATTTGTATGGATATTTTAATAAAATAATCTGATGGTTCAAAACAGTTCATGAAAATTATAGTTCAATGTGCTTCAGTGACTCATGGAATTGGAGCCAAGTAACTAATGAGGTTAAGATCATCCATTTAAAGTCAAAGCTGATTATCAAATACTACACTGTACACCTTAAATATATACAATTTTTAATTGTCAATTATACCTCAACAGAGCTGAGGCAGGGAGTGAGAAAAAATGAGGTGAGGTTAAAAAAAAAAAAATCAAAGTTAAAAGACTAAGTTTATATAACTTTATGGCTAAAGGCTATGTCTCCCACTCCAGCTAGTCATTTCATAAATATCATGAATCATACAAATAACTTGGTTAAGAAGCACTAAATAATCACATGAAATCCAAAATGAGAGTATCTGCCCTGCCGTCACTTCATATTTCCATACTTAACAAAGCATATTTATTTACCTGTCATGTGTCTAGGTTGCCTCCAGCATTTGCAACTTTCTCCAAATAACCCTGCTCAAAGGGTATCAATAAAAATATTTCATGTACATAGAGCATTTTGGATATGAAATGTCCCTTCATGGAAGACTGAACAGATTAGGTATAATTTAATTTGTAAGAAGGGCATTTTTTACTCAGTCTGATTCCTCTGGTATACGTAACTGGGTATATTTATACAGAAGAGATCTTACTAGGGGCGCCTGGGTGGCTCAGTCGTTAAGTGGCTGCCTTCGGTTCAGGTCATGATCCCAGGGTCCTGGGATCAAGCCCCGCATCGGGCTCCCTGCTCCGCGGGAAGCCTGCTTCTCCCTCTCCCACTCCCCCGCTTGTGAATCCCTCTCTCGTTGTGTCTCTCTGTCAAATAAATAAAATCTTAAAAAAAAAGAAGAAGAAGAAGAAGAAGAAGAAGAGATCTTACTAGGTATCATAGGTATCACAGGATATTATCATCTAATTCTTTCTAGGCCTGAATCCATTATTCAATCCAATGAGAATACCAGCCAAAGAAGTCAAGAAAATTAAGTGCATACCATAAAATTTCCAATCTAAGTTCTAGGTAACTAATCAGGATCTGAAATCCTTTTGAGAATAATTTGTTAAAAGAATTCTCATTACACACTTCATTTACTTAGTGTAAAGATAAAGCATATTTCTACTGAAGAGCAGTAAAAAAAACCCCAAACTTTGTTGATTATCTTTTTTATACCAAACACCATACTAAATATTATCAAATATAACCCTCACAACTACACTGTGAAGATCTCACTGTTCTACAGGTGAAAAACTGTATATCAGAGTTGAAGTGATGGGCACAGGTTGATACACCTTGGGGGTGATGAGGCTGAAATTTGAGCACAAAGCTCCAAAGCTCCTGTTCTTTTTTATTACCTTATTTCCCTACATACCAGAAAAATGACAGTGATATTTTAAAAACATACAAGATAATTATGTGGCCTACAATTCAAAACTGTAATTCTGAAATTTTAAAAACGCTCCAATGCAAACAAGAGCAGCCAACATTATTAAACTTTGGAAATCTGGCATTTGTAATGAAGTTATAATCTATGTATCTCCTACAAAGGAATTTCCTTTGGCAGGGAGGGTGTGATACTAAGAGATAATTCCTTAAAATTTCCAATATGAAAATCATAACAGGGTGAGATTTATTCCTCAATTTACAAATTTACCTTACTAATGATTCTTCTGCCTCCTGAAAAGGTAACTGTGGCTTAGAAGTCCCCCTTCATTCTAGCTCAGTCAAACCAGTTTTTTTTAAATAACATAATGTATTATTTGTTTCAGGGGTACAGGTCTGTGATTCATCAGTCTTACACAATTCACAGCGCTCACCATAGCACATAACCTCCCCAATGTCCATCACCCAGCCACCCTATCCCTCCCCACCCCACCCCTCCAGCAACCCTCAGTTTGTTTCCTGAGATTAAGTGTCTCTTATGGTTTGTCTCCCTCTCTGGTTTCATCTTGTTTCATTTTTGCCTCCCTTCACCTATGATCCTGTCTTGTTTCTCAAATTCCATATACAAGTGAGATCATATGACAACTGTCTTTCTCTGATTGACTTATTTCACTCAGCATAATACCTTCTAGTTCCAGCCACGTCGTTGCAAATGGCAAGATTTCGGGGTTTTTTTGATGGCTGCATCGTGTGTGTGTGTACACACCACATCTTCTTTATCCATTCGTTGATGGACATCTTGGCTCTTTCCACAGTTTGGCTATTGTGGACATTGCTGCTATAAACATTGGGGTGCACGTACCCCTTCGGATCACTACATTTGTATCTTTGGAGTAAATACCCAGCAGTGCAATTGCTGGGTTGTACGGTAGCTCTATTTTCAACTTTTTGAGGAACCTCCATACTGTTTTCCAGAGTGGCTGGCAACAGCCTGCGTTCCCACCACCAGTGTACGAGGGTTCCCCTTTCTCCGCATCCTCGCCAACATCGTCGTTTCCTGACTTGTTAATTTTAGCCCTTCTGACTGGTGTGAGGTGGTATCTCATTGAGGTTTTGATTTGGATTTCCCTGATGCCGAGCGATGT